CTTGCTGGCGAGATTGGTGCCGCTGACGATTTCAGCACTGTGCGCTGCGTGTGTGCACGGGTTTTAGGGCGGCCTATGCTCCTGTCTAAACTCTGGTGGCGTAGTGGTTACGAATTGGGCTGTTAACATCAAGGTCGGTAGTTCGAAACTACCAGCAGTTCCGCGGGAGAAAGATGAGGCCTTCTGCTCCCGTAAAGATTTATAGCCTCGGAAACCCTGTACAGGGTGACTGAGTCGGAACCGACTCCACGGCACATAACAACAACAGCATGCTCCTGTCTGAGGCCTGTGGTGTTGGGGAGACCCTGTCCTCCCTTTTGTTGTTGGTGATGGTGGTGGTGGTTAGTGGTACAAGGCATGGAGTCGCTTCTGATTCATGGCAACCTCATAGGCGCAGGCCTCCACACCTCCTGAAGCGCCTCTGAGTGGGTTTGAACCATCAACCTTTTGGTTAGTAGTCAAGCCTTTAACCATTTGAGCCCCCCAGGAACTCTATACTCCACTTGTTGTTGGTAGATGGGTCAGCTCAGTTCCTCCTCTGGTAACGTAGTGGTTACGAATCGGGCTGTGAACCGCAAGGTCAGCAGTTTGAAACTACCAGCGGTTCCGCGGGAGAAAGATGAGGCTTTCTGCTCCCGTAAAGATTTACAGCCTCGGAAACCCTGTACAGGTTCGCTATGAGTCGGAACCGATTCCACGTCACATAACAACAACAACAACAACAACAACCCCATATGACAGAGTAGAACTGCCCATGGGTACTAGACTGTCATCTTTTTGGAAAAAGGTTGTTAGGTCTTTGCACCTGGGTGATGGTGGTGGTTGAACCTCTCTAACCTATTGGTTAGCCGCCTAGTGCTTCACCATTTGAGCCAATAGGCACTCCTTGTTAAGTGCCATTAAGTTTGTTCTGACTCATCTCCACCCTGTAGAGTTGGTGGATTTGAACCACCAACCTTGTTGTGATGTGCCGTGGAGTTGGTTCCAACTCATAGTGGCCCTGTACAGGGTTTCCGAGGCTGTAAATCTTTACGGGAGCAGAAAGCCTCATCTTTCTCCCACAGAACCACTGGTAGTTTCGAACTGCTAACCTTGAGGTTGGCAGCCCGACTTGTAACCACTACGCTACCAGAGCTACTTAGTGACTCCATACTCCCACCCAAATGTAGAACTTGTTAAGTGGAGCCACGAGGCACTCCAGCATAATGCATATTCTTCTAGAGTCTGGCTTCTGGAGGAGAGGGGAATCCACTCTAACACAGCAGGTGTGTGGGTGGGAGGTGAGAGTCTGGGCAGGTAGGCTTGGAACTCTGGAGGGGCTCTGCGCTTCCCACAAGCCTGGGGACAAGCCTGGTTGGTGGAGAGGCCAGCTTGGAGCTGCAGAATCTTGTCCCCAGAACTGATGGACTGCAGGACTCCCAGGCTGAAGGAGAGGCCAAGAGCTAGAGGCAGCTTCTAGGCAGAGCGCACCTTGTACATGCTGGGGGTGCCCGAGTGCCAAGCAAGACCTTAGACTGTTAGTCCTGTGTGGCCCAGGCAGGATCTTCCAGAGCCCTGGGTATTCAGGTTGGTGGAGGGACAGAATCTGAGCCCAGGAAGGGCAGCACTATAACCCATCGCAAGTCTGTTCCAACTCCTAGCAACCTTACGTTCTTAGAAGTTTTTAGGTTCTAACTCATAGCATACCTGTCTGTATAGGGTTTCTGAAGCTATAACATTTTTTGCAGGAGCAAACAGTCTCATCTTTCTCCTAGGAACAGCTGGTGGGTTTCATCAGCCAGTCCTGTAGTTAGCAGTCCAGTGCTTACCCTACAGCATCACCAGCATCCCTGTAGGACAGAACAAAATTGCCCCACAGGGTTTGCAAGGCTATAATCTTTTTAGAAGCAGAATGTTGCATCTTTTTTCCTGGGAGCTGCTGATGGGTTTGAACTACCAACCTTTTGGTTAGCAACTGAGCACTTAACCGCCTTACTTCCAGGGCTCCTAGAGCTGTAACAGCTGGTGTTAAATTGGGCAGGAAGCAGATGCTTCAAGCAGGATTGAGACACGTGTTCCTGGGCCCTTGGCTCTGGGATTGCTCTGCCTGCCAGCATACAGATGCCCCAGTAGGTAGAGGGATGGAGTCTGGGCTGCCCTCTGCCCAGCACTCAGGCGCTCATGTTTAGATGGGATGAGGAGGAATTACCCAGAACCTCTGAATCTGCAGCCTTAAGCCAGTACCTCTTCGTAGGACCAGAGAATGAGTCGCACTGAGTAAAGTGCGGCCAGACTTCCCCTTTCGTATTTTGGACACGTTGTCAGGAAGGACATCATGCTTAGAAAAACAACAGAACAGAGGACGACTCCCAATGAGATAGCTTGGCACAGTGGCAGCAGCGATGGGGTCAGACATCACAATTGTGAGGCTGGAGCACGACCAGGCAGTGTTTGTTCTATTGTGGGTCAGGTCCCTATGAATCAGAACCGACTCCACGGCACCTAACAACAACAACAACAACAGATGCGTGAGGCTCATGGCACAGCCCGAGCCCTGCTTGGAGCGGATTCAGTGGTTAAATGATTCTAGCCCTCCACCTACCCGGCCCTGGGAGTGGACTGGTTAAATGTTCAGACCAAAGTGTGGTGGTTCAGGAGAGAGACCGAGTGATCTGCTCCCAAAAAGCTTCCAGTCAAGAAAACTGTATGGGGCAGCCCTGCTCTGTCACACACAGTTGGTGGCCTCCAACAACACGTACAACCGAGCATCAGGACAGGAACGGCCAATTCCTGTGGCTGATCTTGGAGCTCAGCACTCAACCTTCTGCTTGGGAGTTTTGGCAGCAGCCAGGCAGTGGGGCAGGGGACACCTGTCTCAGGTAGATTGAGGCTCAGAGTGGGAATGCAGACCGGTCCCAGACCCCCTGCTGGTGGAAGGCTCAGGACCTGGGTACAGATTTCTGCACAAGAACCAGTTCTGTGTGTTCTTGGGTGGTCCAGCCGAAGGAGGGAGCATGGTGGGTGATCCCGTGCAATAGCTGCTGGAGTTTAGGCCTGGAGGCCCCACTTAGCAGCCACCAGTTGTGGTCCCGGGATGGGTGAGGCTGTAGCTGCTGTATTCTGTACGGGTGCTGGCATTTGGGCAGAATGGGGAGGTGTGCACAGGCCTAGGCTCTGGTGCCACTGCGGCTGAATGCCGCATTGTTGGGTGGAGTGACCAGGTCTGGGCTGCAGAGGGATGGGACTTGCCAGGTGCCCTCTGTGCACACACTCAGGTGGGAGTAGGAGAAGGGAGGCTGCAGGTGGGTTTGGGGCAGAGGGTGCCCTCAGCACAGCCTGGTGATGTCCACAGCAGTGGGAGGACAGGGCCTTGCAGAGCCACAGGAGCCCAGGCTCTGCAGCTCCTGAAGGGCTGTGGGGGATGGGGGTGGACAGAGCTGGGGTTTGATGCCGGTTCAGGATAAACACACTGAAAACCCTAGTGCCCAGTCGATTCTGACTCATAGGATTTCTAAGATGCTAAACTGTGTGAATGAGAAGTTGGGGAGCAGTGGAGGGCAGGGGCGGGCTAGGGTGGGGCTTGCTATCCGAGTGCTTAACCACTGTTGGTAATTGAAAGATTGGAGGTTTAAGTCCACCCAAAGTCACCTTGGAAGAAAAGCCTGGTGATGACCTCCTTCTGACAAGTGAACCATTGAAAGCCCTACGGCGCACAGTTCTACTCCAATGTGTGTGGGGGCGCAGTTAGTTGGAATTGTCTCGAGGACTAGTGGTTTGTGTAGTTCGATTTGTTGTGTGTTGCACTAGGTGGTTGGAAGGGTGTGAGTTGTAGCTTCTAGGCCTGGGAAGGGCTGTCATTGGCTGGCCAGTGCTGGGGCTTCTCGGGGCATCTCTGGTCTTGGCCACTCTGTTGCAGGTAAGTGGAGGAGGGACTAGGTCAGAGTTATGCATTCAGGACACAGAATGGTTGGGGAGGACTGACAGAGGGCCAGTGGATTGGAATGGTACAGGGACCAGCTCCTGGGAGAGCAGCAAGGCTATGCCCGGTCTTCAAGAGGATGCTCTGGATTATATGCAGGGATTTTATGTGGTGTTGATGGGTGACACTGCATGTGACCAAGCAGAACTGCCCAGCGGGGTTTTCGTGCCTATAATTTTTATAGGAGCAGGTCGTTAGGAGTCTCTCCATGGATTAGCTGGGTGGGTTCAAACCACCAAACTTTGGGTTAGCAGCTGAGCATTTAACTAGAGCGCCACCGGGGCCTGGTAGGGGGAGGGGGAGGGTCAGTCTTTAGCCCTGAATCAGCTCCTGGCAGGAGTGGGGTTGTGCCATGGGCTTCGTGCATTAAATCAAGTGTGCTTAGAGGCTAGTCATCCCCGGAGCCCTGCTCCTAGACCCGGGGAGAGGGGCTGGTCTAGGGATGCAGATTCAGAGTTTGGGGGAGGGGTTAGGGTTATTTGTGGGGGGGTCCCAGGACCCAGTTGGAGTAGTGGGTACCGATTTGTGCTGCAGGTATTGGTGTGGGGGTAGAGGAAATGGGCTGGGGGTGATCTACAGTCCCAAAACATGGGGGACCCAGGTTAGAACTTCGGACTCCTGGCTTGGGAGGGGCAGGCCTATGCCTGAGAGATTCAGGCAATCCATCCCAGCCCACTGCCTTCAAGTGTTTTCCACATACAGGCTCCCGACAGGAGGGAGAAGAGCAGGTCAGCAAGACTGTCAGTCTTCAGTCACAAACCACTTGCAGTTGGAGCTTCATCTTTCTCCCAAGGAGCGAGCAGCTGGTGGGTTTGAACCGCTGACCTGGCAATTAGCAGCCCATCACTTATCACACTGTGCCACGAGGGCTCCTGAATGTTAGGTGTGCGCACAGTTCCTTGGGCTGGAACTTGTGGGAACTCACTCTCCAGGGGCAGAGACTGAGCTGGACAGTGGAAGGGTCCCCACAGTGCCCTGCGCACACGCATAGGCTGTGGCCCTGTGGCCAGGCTGTTTTCAGCACCATCTTTTCCCTCTGCAGCTCCAAGTCCTCATCCTACCTGGAGGAGAGCATGGAAGAGCCCCTGAAGGCCTGTGTGCAGGTGAGTGGAGCGTCCCTTCCTCAGAGAGAGACAGAGCTGGTGTCCCCTCTCTGCACAAAGCATCTTAGGGGGGAGGATGGGCATGGTTCCCTAACAGTTCACCTGCACAGCGCCGCATTTCATGAGTCTCTGCATTTCTTGACCCTTTCTTTCACCCAGATCACAGCTTGACCTCATGCGTCACAAGTCCTTAGAACACTGAGTCCCCTCTGCCCAAGAATTCACGGCTCCTCTGTGTGCCTTTCCAGAGGGAAGGTAAATGAGTTCTGGCAGGAGCAGGAAATGGGCCGAAATGTAGCCGTGGGGGGGGATGGGGTACTGCTGTCAGTCATCTTGTCTCTGCTGACAGCTGAAGCCATGAAGATCGTTGTTAAGTGCATGACCCCACTGCCCAGGAGTGGATTCCAACTTACAGCGACCCTGTGGGACTGAGAACTGTAAACCAGAGGGTTTAGAGAAGCGGATCACCCCCTCTTTCTCCTGCTGGGTTTGACCTTATGGTTAGCAATCCACTGCTTAGCCTACAGCCCCGCACCCAGGACTGTCAGGGTAGGCACATGCCTGAGCAGAGTGAGGAAGGGCACCCATGCATGGGGGCATCCATGACCAAATAGGGTGAGGAGGACATCTGCGCAGGGGCAGCCTGCCAGGGTAAAGAAGTTGTTTGTATGGAGGGCAGCCCACTGTGGGCGTTAGAAGTTGGTTGTATGGAGGGCTGCCCACTGTGGGCCTGAGGACACATTGGCGTTAAAGAAATGGTCTGTGTGAGGTGACAGTCTAATGCAGGGGAGCTAGTGCCCAAGTGGGGTGAGGAGGGAAAAGGGCGTCAGAGCCTGTGTTAGAGCCCTGTGGGTGCTCTCCTAAAGTGCCCCAGCCTGTGTGACTTCAAACACCGTAAACGTATTCTCTCACAGTCCTGGCCGCCCGAAGCCCACAGCAAGGTGTCAGCAGAGCTGTCCTTACCTCCTGGCCTCGTCAGACTCCTAGGGAGTCCAGCGTTCCTTGACTTTTGGCAGCTGGACTCTGGAGTCCTGGGGGGTCGCGCTCTAGGACAAGCACTTGACCACAAGGTTGGTTTGAACTGCAAGATCAATGGTTCAGAATCACCAGCCGATCCTAGGAAACCCTGTACAGGTCACTGGCACTTAACAACAACAACAATGACTCTCTCTGCCTTTGACTTCCCGTGGCCATCTTCTCCTTGTGTCTGTCTCTCGTCTCATTTTATAAGACACCAGTCAAATTGAATGAAGGCTCACTCTGGTGTGGCGCCACTGGATAATGCGCTGGACTGTAAAGTCGGTTTGAGCCACCAGGTCAGCAGTTGAAATCCACCAGCTCCTCCTTGGAAACCCTAAATCACATTGCTGTGAGTCAGAACTGATTCGACGACACTTGATAACAAAAACTACCACCACCCCAGTATGAAGGGAATGTGGTAGCTCTGGAGGGTAAGTACTGTACTGTAATCTACAACGTCGGCTGTTCAAGCCCATTGACTGCTCTGCAGGAGAAAGATGAGGTTTCTGCTCCTGTAAAGATTTACAGCCTTAGAAACCCTATTGTTGTTGTTGTTAAGTGCTGTTGAGTTGGTTCCAACCCATAGTGACCCTGTATAGGGTTTTTAAGGCTCTTGAACCGCCAACCTTGAGGTTCAAATAACTTTACAGTCTGGTGCATTAACCCAAAGAGCCACACCAGGACTCCAAGAGATCCTACATAGGGTTAAAACTATGAGTCAGAACGGACCGACAGCGCTTAGCAACAACAACCCCAGTATGACTTCATGTTAACTTAATGACATCTGCAAAGACCCTATTTCCAAATCGGATCACATTCATGGATGTGTGAGGTCAGGACTTCAACAGAGACAAGTGTCCGTGGGGAGGGGCCGACCTGGTTTAGCGTGACTTGATCAGAACAAGGACACCCACAAGGGGGATGATGTGTGGGCAGTCAGAGCCCAAGGGGGCTGTCCATTGCAGGAAGTGTGCCGGAGCCAGAGTAGGGTGATGAGACTGAGTGTGCGCACCGTGGGAGTCGGAGCTCCGCCCAGGGTGATGAGACTGAGTGTGCGCACCGTGGGAGTCGGAGCTCCGCCCAGGGTGATGAGACTGAGTGTGCACACCGTGGGAGTCAGAGCTCCGCCCAGGATGATGAGACTGAGTGTGCGCACCGTGGGAGTCGGAGCTCCGCCCAGGGTGTTGAGACTGAGTGTGCACACTGTGTAGAGTCGGGGGTCCGCCCATGGCAGCAATGAGACTGTGTGCACTGTAGGAGTCGGGGTTCTGCCCAGGATAACAAGACTGAGTGTGCCCACTATGGGAGTCAGGGCTCCCTCCACGGTAATGAGACTGAGTGTGGGCATTGTAAGAGTTGGGGCTCCGCTCAGGGTGACAAACCAGAGTGTGCACAGGTCAAAGGCACCCCAGCATGTGGATACCAGGGCCCAGGCAGGCTGTGAAGGGCAGTCTGATGTCCAACAGCCTGAGTCCATGGGAAGGGACAGCTGGTCCTGGGAATCAGCCGAAACTGGGTGAGGGGAGCCCATGACCCGGGGTGGGATGATGGGGTGGGGTGGGGTGTGTGCGGGCAGCCAAGGGGAGGGAGGAGAGTGCTTTGGCAGGAGGGAGTGGCGTGGAGCCAGGCAGTAAGGGACCTCCAGGGAAGGTGGGTGAGCTAAGTGTACACTACAAAAGCCAGGGTCTGACCGTCAGCAGGACGGTACAGGTCTGGAATGAGAGGACCCTGGAATGACCCATGTTTTTTTAATGGAAACTGGAGGTGTAGCTATGAATTTAGGGTTCAGTCTGTTGTTAAGTGCCCGCGAGTCGGTTCCAACTCATAGCCACCGTGTATAGGGTTTCTGAGGAGCGACTGGTGGGTTTGAACGCCGACCTTGAGGCTCAAACCAACCTTGTCATTGAGTGTTTATCCTACAGTGCCGCACTAGTCTGTAGAGCTGCAGAAATACATGGACATGTGCATGAGCCTGTGTGTGTGTGTGTGTGTGTGTGTACCAGTTGCTGTGTATCGAAGTTCAACTGTGCTCCATCAGAGTTTCAGTTTGTTTTTTGAACGTCAATCACCGAGACCTTTCTTCCAGGGCCCTCTAGATGGACTTGAACCGCCAACCTTTCAGTTAGTAGCCAAGTACATTAACTGTTTACACCACCAGGAACTTCTGTGTCCATACGTAGTATCCACTGAGTGATTCCAGTGAGCAGTGCCCACACCTAGTGTCCAGATTTTGACTTCTGGATATACCACAGGAGTTACAGGGCTACAGCTAATGGCTAATGAATGTTGTCCACACCCCTGCCCATTTCATTGTGGGAGGCAGGGGAGACTTCAAAAGTTTGTGGAGAAATGAACGTCAGCCAGCTGATTTTACTGATGATCAGAAGATGTACAGGTACTTGACTTATCCCGGAGGATATTAAGCCCTGACATGCTTTATCCCACAGCACCACACCAGGACTCCAGATAGATATATATTGTTGTTGTTGTTAAGTGCCACTGAGTCACTTCCAACTCATAGCGACCCTGTATAGGGTTTCCAGGGAGAGACTGGTGAGCTTGAACCGCCGACCTTGCAGTTCAAACCAACCTTGCAGTCCAGCCAGCGCATTAACCCGCAGCGCCACACCAGGTGTACAGAGAAGCACAACACTAGTAAAGCATGTACGCGGTAGAATGGTCAACCAGTCAAGGTCAAAAGGGCAGCATTTACCTAAGGACAGAGTTGAGAAGGGCTGGGAAGGAGGGTAGGGTAGGCTGGAAACCGGAACTACAGGAGGAGGCGGGCTCTGTTGTTACCTGGAGGGGATTACAATCGTGTGAGCTGAAATCAAGCGTAGGATTTGTTCAAGGTAAAACTGAGGAGCTGCTCTGTAAACACATTCAATTCAAAGTCACTCAATTCACAGTAAAAAGTTTCAGGGAAAAAAAAAAAAAAGTGTTTCTGAGATGTGCCTACGTGTTAGAATGCTGGTGGCAAAAAAAAAAAAAAGTGTTTCTGAGATGTGCCTACGTGTTAGAATGCTGGTGGCAAAAAAAAAGTGTTTCTGAGATGTGCCTACGTGTTAGAATGCTGGTGGCAAAAAAAAAAAAGTGTTTCTGAGATGTGCCTACATGTTAGAATGCTGGTGGCACAAATAGTGAGTAGTTAAGTGCTCTGTGCCAACCAAACAGCTGGTGGTTCTAACACACTCAGCTCTGAGGGAGAAAGAACTGATTTCCAGGAAAACCCTATGGAGTGGTTTTACTCTGTCCTGGGGTGAGGCAGAGCACATGCAGTAGCACCTAACAACAAAATGAAAACGTTGCTATGAAAGGAACAAAAATAGAAACAGAGAGCATGTAAAATCGGGTGGGATCCACATAGGTTTCTTCCTGAGTTAATCATATTGTGCCCTTGTCACTTACCTGCTTTTAACAACATATGGTGACTGTCTGATAAGATCACTAGGTGAAGGGGTGGGGGAGGCAGGTGAAGGAAACGTGGGAATTTTCAGTTCTATTTTTGCAACTTCTTGTGAGTTGTTTGAAACTCTTTCGAATAAAATATTTTTAAAAATACGTGTGTGTGTCTTCCCAGTCCCGGAAAGTCTGTGGGAGGTGGGGGCTCTGCTGGTGCAGGCTTGTGTGAGTTGGTACCCACAGCCATCAGACGCACTCTATGTGGTTGGTGAATTGTTTACATACAGAGGATATGAGCCAATAAGTAGGTATAATGAGAATGACGGGGGCCAGTGAAGGAAGGTACAGAGTCAGAAAGCAGGCAGGCAGGGAGAGTAACACGTCTTGTTGGACTGTTAACTGTTGGTGTGGACGTACAGTCTCATATAGAGATAAATAGTTATAGAAATAGTTGATATGATTTAAAGAAGTGAGCCTCTTTTTACACATTCACTGACCCTTTTTGATATCTCCTGAGTTACGTTACTCGCACATTGTTCTGGGTCCTTGTTCCCTTGAGGCTACTGCTTTTTCTGCTGATTGAGAAGAAGTCTTAATAATATTGATTCTCATTGATGGTGCCTTTGTTGATGGCAGTTGCCAAACAGTTCATGTAGTTAATCTGTTGATTTTCATAATTCTGGCTTTGGCCATGCTATACTTGTAAGTGCCGTCGAGTTGGTTCCAACTCATAGCCACCCTGTGTAGGGTTTATGAGGAGTGCCTGGTGAGCTTGAAGGGCTGTATTCCGTTTTATTTGCTGAGGATGATCTGATCCGGAATTCAGACAGGGCCCGGCGAGGTGGTTCTTGTGTTTGGTGTTCGGTGCAGTCCCTGGAGTTACGTACTCAGCTACACTTCGCTGGTAGCTGGACTACCTAAGAATGCCCACCATGACTTTGTGTCCATGTCTGCAGTCTCAGTGCCCCTCCAGCTGTCCCCTCGCTCTCCACATGGCTAGCTTGGGCTTGTCCGTGGGAGCCAGTGGAAGGTGGGTGTGTCGGATCCTCGCCCCCTCACAGTGGGAATGACAGCTCCCTGATTGTGTTTTTTTCTTTTTCTCACTTGTATTACATTCTTAGGACTCTCTGCTTCTGCCAGAAACTGTCATCAAGGTTGAAGGAGAAGACACGGGGGCACTGGCCATTCCATCCCAGGTGAGTTGGGTATAAGTTTCCTCCGTATTGAGAAGTTTGCATAACTGGTGGGCAGCAGGAGTCAAATGAAAGTGGGGAAAGTGAGGAAGTGGAGGTAAGAGAGGAAAACTCTTAAAAAGGTGAGATATTGATGAGGATGATAACTCCGAGGAGATTTGAGATTGAAAGACTTTTTTTTTAAATTATTGCTAGCCAAAAGGTTGGGCTCCTGGTATGACACTATAGGATAAGCACTGGACTGCAAACCACAAGGTTGGTGGTTCAAGTCCACCAGCTACTCCTTGGAAACCCTATATAGGACTGCTTTGAGTTGGAACCAACTCAACAACACTTAACAGTCATAAGGTTGGCAGTTCAAATCCACCAGCCACTCCTTGGAAATCTTGTACAGGGTTGCCATGAGTCAGAACTGACTAGATGGTACTTAGCAAGGACTGAAAGGGACGCATGCTGGGAAAGCTCTGGATTGGCAGGTTCAGCAGTTCAAACCCATCGACTGCTCCTCTGGAGAAAGATGAGCCTTTCTGCTCCTGTAAAGATTTCCAGCCTAGAAAGCCCTATACAGGGTCGCTATGAGCCGGAACTGGCTCGATGGCACTTAACAGCAATATCACAAGAACCAGAAAGATTTAAATATGTTTAAATGGTTGAGGAAGGACTTAGTGAATTAAAATGATCATTGGAGAGAGGAGATAAACTATGAGGATTCAATTCAGAGCATATGTGAATAAATGTCCCTTGTCTGGGGAGAAGGACTCAAATTGGAAGGATAAGGTTAATGAAGTTACCTAAAGGCTTGGATTTTTGGTGAAAACTCAGGTAAAGTTATCTGTTGGCTGTGACGGTAGGAACTGAACTGGAGAAATGCTTGATGATGGTGGAGAAGGGTTAGACTAGTAATTTTGGATTATGAGAGAAAGGCCCCAAATAGGTCTAATCAGGTTGCTAGTTAATCAGGTTGCTAGTTAATCAGGTTGCTAGTTAATCTTAAATGATGATAACCAGTAATTTCTAATATTCTATCCAGCTGCCTTTAGGGGGTGATTTTCTCCCCACTGGCACACTCACTCTGTAACCCGTTTTTGTAGCCAACTGACACGCAGACTCACCTCACTTTTGTCATTTGCCAGGATGATGTGGTGGGAATGCCGTAAGTCAGTGGATCATTTGAAAGATAATTTTTGCATAAACCAAACACAAAGATCAACATGAATAATTATTCTAATCTGAATAATTAAGAGGGGAACGATAAAGAGTACACTAAATAGAAAAGACCACCACTTGTTTATCAGTTTGTCGTACTCTGGTGGCTTGCATGTTACTGTGATTCTGGACGCTGTACCACCGGTATTTTAAATACCAACAGGGTCCTCCATGGTAGAAAGGTTTCAACTGAATTTCCAATCTAATACAAAGTAGAAAAAAGGAGAGGCAGACTGGTTCTGAATGTTTAGCCACTGAAAACTTTATGAATAGCAATAGAACACTGTCAGATAACACCAGAATAATGACTGTTGAAACAGGAGGAATAGCATCAGAATATTGTCAGATATAGTGCCGAAGATGAGCCCTTCAGGTTGGAAGGCCCTCAAAACAGAGTTGACCATGACGACACGAATGGAGTAAAGCCTGCAGGACCTTCATTTGCTCTTGGGCACAACTCGAAATGAAAAGAAGGAGCTGTAAACATCCGTTAATAATGGAACATGGAATGTAAGAAGTATGAAGATAGGAAAATTAAAAGTTGTCAAAAATTAAATGTCACACACAAAGATGGAGATCCTAGGCATGAACCAGCCGAAATGAACTGGTATTGGCTATTTTGAATCTGACAATCATAGGGTTTACTATGCCAGGAATGACAAAGAGGAATGGCATCACATTCACCATCAAAAAGAATGTTTCAATACCTGTCTTGAAGTATAATGCAGTCTGTGATAGGATAATAACCTATAATACTATAAGAGAGACTAATTAATACAACTGTTACTCAAATTGACACACCAACCACGAAAGCCAATAGTAAAATTGAATTCTACAATTTCTTCAGTTTAAAATTATTCAAACATGCAATCAAGATATATTGATAATTACTGGTTTGGAATGCAAAAGTTTAGAGCAAAGAGAAAGGATCAGTAGTGAGAAAATATATCCCTGGTGATAGAAACGATGCTGGAGATTGATCACATGATAGTTTCACAAGACCAATGACTTCTTCATTGAAAATACCTTTTGTAAACAACATGAAAGATGACTATACACATGAACCTCACCATTTGAAATACACAGAATTCAAAATGACTATATCTGTGGGAAGAGATGGTGGGAAAGTTCCATAGAACCAGTCAAAACAGGGCCAGGGGCCAGTTGTGGAGCAGACCATCAATTATTCATATGCAAGTTCAGGCTGAAGCTAAAGAAAAGTCCACAAGAACCAAAAAACCTTCAAGATTTTGGTGACATTTATAGGACCCTGAATTAGAAAAATGTCTGTACAAATACAACAGCATGTTGCATGTAGTGTCATGGGATTCAGGGGATCCTGTGTTCTATTCATGAACCACAACAAAAACATCTGATCTCTATAAAGAGTCTTTAACATAGTGGTTTGTTATATTCAACTTCTTTGGTGTTTGCTGCTTATGGGTAAGGACACATCACCCTGAACATGAATTTTTAATCAAAATTCCTGCCCAGTTATATTGGGAACAGATCCTTTTCCCTTTTGGATGGCCAGGAGACCCCCTGTATATGGCAGTGTTGTTGTTGTTGTCAGGTCCCAGCAAGTCATTCCTGACTCATAGTGACCCGGGGAGTGGCTGTTGAGTTGAACCACTGATTTTTCGATTCAAACTGACCCTGTGGTCCAGTTCTTATCCTCCAGCACCACACCAGGACTCCTTGTATGGCAGTAATGATGCTGAATGTCTCCTAAGCCTCCCTATAGTGCAGCTCTGAATGTGGGTACAAAAGAACTCTCATCCAAAGACTCAAGGTTTATTTAGTCACCTTTAGGGGTCTCAGAACTAATAGGCCTACCCATTGCGCACAGTGTCACTCGTTTAGTAAAGCCTGCTGGTAGCTTTTCATGTATTTTCACAATCGTTACACTAACAGCCCACTGAGCCGAGTTGCCCGTTTCCCATTGCTGTTGATTCTGACCCCATGTGCAACACAGTGGAATGACTCCACAGGGTTTTCTTGGCTGCACTAAGCCAGTCTTTGTAGAAGTATACTGGCAGACTTTTCTTCCATGGTGCTGCTGGGTAGCTTCAAACCACCAGCCTGTAGGTTAGTTGTTGTTGTTACTGTTCAGTGCCGTTGAATCGGTTCCAACTCATAGCGACCCTGCATAAGGTTTCCAAGAAGCGGCTGTTGAGTTTGAACCGCCGGCCTTGTGGTCCAGTGCCATAGCGCCACACAGTCTAGCAAAATCCGTTGTGCCAGGGACCCAAAAGATATATACTCTTAATAGGTGAGATGACTCATCTCTTTTCTTCCAAATCCAGTGCTTTTGTCATTGAGACCTGCATTCCATCTTCTACCGCAAGCATCAGCGGGATGCAGCCTGTGGGCCGACTCTGGCTCCCTGCCTGCTTTGTAAACAGTGTTGCAGTCTAGCCACCCCATGTGTTTGTGTACATCAGTGACTGCTCTGCTACCACCGTAGCAGTGGGGAGTAGCTGTTATAGCCACTGCCTGGCTTGTAAAGGCTAAACTGGTTACTGTCTGGCCTTTGGTGGAAAGTTTGCCAACTTCTGTTAGGTTTTTGGTAATCTAGAAAGATTTCCAAAGTGGGAATTTTGTATTCACCAGTACAAAAAGCCAGAGTAAGCATTTTCTTTAAGGTAGTCGAGTCTTACATAACAAATTTCTTTTTCTCCCTCATTTTTTTTTAAGGTTAGTGAAAGTTTACAAGGCAGATCAGTTTTACACTCAACAAACCATATTTTGTTTTATTACACCCCCTCCATGTACCATCAGTTAATAGTATTTACTTGTATTTTCCCCCCCCCTCTTTTTTTTGGGATATACATGTGTACATCAAAAAATCTTTTTTTTTGTACAAAAATATTTTTTTGATGTACATGTGTGCACAAAAAATGCATTTTTGTCTGAGTGTCCAGAGGGCACATTTTGCAAGCCAGCCTCCTGCCCTCAGGCACACAGCCTTTTTTATTCCAGGGGTCTAGAGTCCTCAGCTGCTCTACCTCTCTATGCCATCGCCGCTGCCACTGTCTCTGTTGTTGCTGCTTCTCTGGTTAGGTCCCCATATTTCGCTCCTGCTCTTCCCTCTTGATGGTCCTAGGGTCCTCTGTTCCTGGAATGTAAGATTAACTACTCCCCCCTTTTAGTTATATGTCTTCTACATTTACAGTTGTGACAATCGCTATTAGTCCTGCTAACAATTACAGTTGAATCATAAGCCCCTATCCCATTCTCCCTTTCACCAGGCCCATCTGGAAAAGACGAGAACTATTCAGTGGGGATTCTATTTTACCCCTCTTGTTCTGAAAGTAAACACACTCATGAAAACTGTACAAAAATATTTACTGATCAGTTTTTATCCAGAGTTCTTCTTTGGGATTGTAAAAACTGGTCCAACATCCCAAACCCAAATGATATCATCACCTGTGTGCCTTGACTGGAATCCTTTGGATGCTGACAATCTCAGGACAACTCCCAGATTATCAGGTTTCCTCCCTCCGTAGGCCAACTCTGCCTCTTCAACACTGGAAGGGAAGTATGCCCAGCTGAGCAGGCATGTGTGTCTTCTTTTAGGAAGGCGTAAACTTCAAAGTTTTGACTGTGGACTACACTCAGGAGGAACAGGACACATTGAACTCTGCTATGAAGACCCTGGACAGAGATGTGATGCTGGAAAACCACAGGGATCTGGTCTCTTGGGGTAAGAATACACTCTCCCTCAATGCAGCCATGACGTTTGGGGCCACACAGAGCTAGTGGTAGTGCTCTTTAGTCCCTACTGAAAATCAATTCCAATTGGTAAGGTAGAAAAGAAGAGCCTCTTGGGCTTGAGTGTGTTCAATCCTTATGGCTACAGGCCAAAGACAGAGATCAAAGTCTGCAGTGATTTTCTTTTGTCCTAATACAAACACCCAAAGCTCTGTGTCTTTCCCTATCATCGTTTCAAACCCGACACACTCTCCTAGTTGGAACAAAGGCAAGAATATAAGAATGAATTTTTCAACATGTGCCCAGGTGAGAACCAAAGACACAGGTACAGAAGGTTTGTTTTAAAACCCCCTAGGAAATGTCACATTTTTCTTCCTCTTCTCTCTTCTTGTAGGACACATACATTACCACTTTTTTTTCAGGTATATTCTCTATTTCATGATCTACTGACGACCCAGGTTCCTGCCTCTGAGTTAACCTCCATTCTTCCTCACTTGAAATTACAGGCCTCCATGGGACCCTGTTAACTCATCAGGCACTTTGGAACTGGGATACCTCCTTTGTCAGTTCACAAATGCCATTTGCTTGTGGGTTGCTGATACAGGCTATTAGCAAGTATCTTCTTATTATCAATTCCTAGAAATATAGACCCTAATCTTTATATCAGTGAACCTGTGTCTAGCACTAAAGAGGGTGAAAAGGACTCTCTATTTCTTTGACAAAGACTGCAAAATTATTTCAAGATTTTTGTAGATTCTGCATGTTAGTGTGCCCTGTCGAGGTAATGCTGACTTACAGCCACTCTATAGGACAGAGTAGAGCCACCCCATAGGGTTTCCCAAGCTGTGACCTTTGGGAAGTAGGTCACCGTGCCTTTTCTCCTGTGGAGCCCCTGGAAGGTTCCGGCTGTTGACCTTTCGATTTGCAGACAAGTGCTTAGCCTCTGCACCACTAGGACTTCTTTGGATTCTATATAGGTAATCTTACATTCGTCTTTGGCATCCAAAATGGTGGTCATTCAGACAAAACTAGGATTAAAATAGTTACACTTCAGTGCTCTGCTATACCATTGGGATGCTGTAGTTCTTCATCTCACCAGTTTGCTTTTCCAATCTGGGTGGTTGTTGTTAGGTGCCATCAAGTTGGTTCTGACTCATAGCAACACTATATAAGGTTTCTGAGGAGCGGCTGGTGGGTTTGAACTGCCTGCTTTGCGTCATCAACAGTCCAGTGCTTATGCTTATCCTACAGCACCACACCAGGACCCCTCAATCTGGGTTACTTAAATCCGTATCTGAAAGCAAACCCCCGTGTATGTTGTATACTTTCTTGTCAGGTTTCTCTCACTATTCCAGCCCTAAACTTTTTTTTTTTGGTCTAGGTTGTCTTATTTTCCTTTCTTTCAGACTTGGCAACTGCACTTGGAAGAAGAGAATCAGTTTCAAAGCACAGCACTTTTGATGAAAAACCATCATCCTATGGAGTTAAGATAGAAAGGTTGACAAGGGATGACCGTTGGTTGCCTTCATGTGGAGGAATCCCAGATGGTAAGGATCAGTTAGAGAAGCAACAGGAAAACCAAGAGAGACTTTTGAAGGAATTGGCATTCACCCGAAGAAAAGCTACTGTTTATGAGAAAATCTGCAAAAGTGATGAACTTGAGGATAATAGGGGTCTGAATTCCAGTCTTCTTTCATCCCATATGATAACGTTAAGAAACCATTTTCATAAACATGCATCACATGTTAAAAAATTACATCATAATTCTGTTGTAAACAATTATCAGAAGATGGATGACAGGAAATTATGTGAAAATAATGAATGTGGAAACCTCCCCGAGAACATTCACCTGATTCAGCTTACAAGAACTCAGACAGAAGATAAGTGCTACACATTTAGTGATAGTATTCACTCTTTCAGCTGTACTACACCCTTACATTTACACGAGAAAATTAATGAAGGAGGCCAAGTTTTAAACCACAATATAACCCGTAATGAACAACAGATAATTCCTGTTGAAGAGAGTCAATATAAAGGTAATAAAACCTCCCAAAGCTCATCTCTTGCTCCAAACATAAAAAGTCATTCTGAAGAGAAGCCCTTTGAATGTAATCAGTGTGGGAAGACCTTCAGCTGGAGCTCTCACCTTGTGGCGCATCAAAGAACTCATACAGGAGAGAAACCTTATGAATGTAATGAATGTGGGAAATCTTTTGGCCGGAGCTCTCACCTTGTTTCCCATCAGAGAACACACACTGGAGAGAAACCTTACAGATGTAACCAGTGCGGGAAGTCTTTCAGCCAGAGTTATGTCCTGGTTGTGCATCAAAGAACTCATACGGGAGAGAAACCTTATGAATGCAATCAATGTGGGAAGTCTTTTAGGCAGAGCTATAAACTCATAGCACATCAGAGAACCCATACCGGTGAGAAACCCTATGAATGCAGTCAGTGTGGGAAGTCATTCATCCAGAGCTACAAACTCATTGCACATCAAAGAATTCATACTGGAGAAAAACCATATGAATGTAATCATTGCGGAAAGTCATTTAGTCAAAGTTACAAACTCGTTGCACATCAGCGAACGCACACAGGCGAAAAACCCTTTGAATGTAATCAGTGTGGGAAATCCTTCAGCTGGAGCTCTCAGCTTGTTGCACACCAGAGAACTCATACTGGGGAGAAACCCTATGAGTGCAACGAATGCGGGAAATCCTTCAATCGCAGTTCTCATCTTGTTATGCATCAGCGAACTCATACGGGAGAGAAACCCTACGAATGCAATCAGTGTGGGAAATCCTTCAGCCAGAGTTACGTTCTTGTTGTACATCAGAGAACTCACACGGGAGAAAAGCCCTACGAATGCAATCAGTGTGGGAAGTCTTTCAGGCAGAGCTCATGCCTCACTCAACACCAGAGAACTCATACTGGAGAGAAACCCTATGAATGTAATCAGTGTGGTAAAACCTTCAGTTTGAGTGCCCGACTTATTGTACACCAAAGAACTCATACTGGAGAGAAACCCTTTACATGTAATCAGTGTGGGAAAGCTTTCATCAATAGCTCTAAACTTATTAGGCATCAGGCCACTCATCCTGAAGACAAACCCTATGACTGTAACTAGAGCGGAGCACCTTCAACCAGAGTCCATATCTTTCCTTTTTTTAAAGGGAAAACATATTGGGAAGAATCGGTTTAAAACAAATGTATGTGGGAAAACTTTTAATTATATATCTGAAAAGTAATTTTGGAGAAGGATATAGACTACAAATTGCTTGCTTAGCAGTTGCACATATGAAATCAAACTTATACCTCATGACACATTGCTATAAAAGCTATAAATACTGGCACTTACCGTTGCAAAAATTACTCAGACCTGAATCAGAGAAAAAACAAGAAGTGGTCAATAGGCTGTGGAGTGCCAGTGAGACCAACCTCTGATGTAATAAAGAATAAATGAAAATATTAACACTGGATGGGCTTATTGACTAGATAGGGAAATGCCTTTGATTTTAGACCTTTAGGATGAAAAACAATAAACGCAGTGTTTTACTACATGACTTTCCCATTAGGTAGTTACTAGGCAGTGTTTCGTTCTGTTGTGCATAGGGTCACTGTGAGTCAGTACCAACTCAATGGCACCTAACAAGTCTGTTTTATACACCACTTCCTAAAAGATCCCTGGTGGCACAGTGGTTAAAGTGCCTGCCAGTGTACCCAAAAGCTGGTAGGATAAGCACTAACTGCTCCATGGCAAGAAGATTTGGCCATCTGTTTCTACTGTAAAGATTTCCAGCCTTGTAAACTCTATGGGGTACTTCTGGTATGATGCTGTAGGATCAGCACTGGACTACGAACCCCAAGTATAAACCAACTCGACAGCACTTAACAACAATGTAGCAAACCCTATGGGATAGTTCTGCACTGCCTTTTAGGGTTGCTATGGGTCAGAATCAGCTTGACAGCAGTGAAGGTATTTGTTTGCATCCTATTTATTATATATGAAGATTTAGTAAAAATAAGAAAAAGTGCAATCATAGGAAGTGCAAAATACAATACATTCATTTCTAGAACCTTTATAAAATCTTTGAATGTGGATCAGAATTGAAAGGGATATAGGTGTATCAGATTTTTAGGTTTATGTGTATTTTTCTAGATTATGTGTTGTTTTCCTATAATGATACAATAAGAACCAACAACAAAGAGAAAATACAAAACTTTCCATCCTCTTTGGCCGATTAGGATACGCTAGGAAATGATAGACGTTCCTCAGGATTCTCAGATGAACATTTGAATTAAAAAAGTGTCTATTTGACTTGCGAGCCGTGTGCCTGCTCAGAACTCCTCATCTTCCTTCATTGCTCTACATGCTCCTGTTTAGTCTTTACTACTTTTGGACTCTTCCAAAAATCAAAAACAAGAAAAACAGTTTGAAAAAAAAAAAATGGTTCTAGACTTGACAAAGATAAGGTGTACATTTCACAATAAAGGTAGTGCTTTTTTAGAGATTTTTTAGCTAAGACTAAAATGTAGAATTTTTTATGCCATCTCAGATAAGCCATTTGTACTTTGAAAGTATTACGTATTTTGTACTCAGTTCATTTACTCTCTATGTCTTATTTATTTACTTGATGTCGTTATTGTTAAGTGCTATCCAGTCATTTCCAACTCATAACAACAGTGTATAGGGTTTCCGAGGAGACACTGGTGAGTTTGAACCACCAACCCTGTGTTTCAAACTGACCTTGCAGTCCAGTGCCTTATCCTGCAGTGCTACACCAGGACTCCATTTACTTGATGGTTGGTGGTGGTAAGTGCGAGTCAGTTCTGACCCATAGCGACACTGTTTAACATTTCCAAGGAGTGGCTGGTGAGCTTGAACTACCGACCTTGTGGTTCAGACTGCCATTGCAGTCCCGTGCATTACCCCACAGTGCCACAACAGGACTCTGTTTACTTGATAAGACCAATTAATTGTTCGTCGATCTTTAGAACTTTATCTTGAAAACTTGGTGTTTTCTCGTTTGTTTATAACTGCTGCACATGGACTTGGTCAGTTTCACTTTAGAAGATGGTTTACATCAGAAAATTGCAAATTTCAAATTATAGCAACCTGTTGTTCGTAGTTGCTTTTGAGTTAGTTCCAATGCATAGTGAACCTATGCACAACAGAACAAAACACTGCCTGATCCTCATAATCCTTGTTAAGCTTGAGCCCACTGTTGCTGTCACAGTACCAGTCCATCTCATTGGAGGTCTTCCTCTTTTTCACTGACCTGTAGGTTCCTAATTGAAAAGCATAGGAACAAACTTTAGCCAATTGATTCAGAAAAAAAAGGGGGTTCTAATGGGCACTGACCTTCCCTGCCTCAGTACACCCAAAGGCTTCAAAATGCAAATTCTGTTATCTCACCAAGATTGGCGGGTAAGACAGCAAGTCTGCATGTCTTTTTAAATGCAAATTTCCTGGGTGAGGGGTTTAGGATTACTAGTTGAAATGAACAGCGTGTGTTTCTTTCAGGCAAATCACCTAGTTCCCTCTAGCCTATCCAATAACATGATGGAGTTACATGCTTTTTGAAATCTACCCAAAAACCCCCAATACTGCCAATTTTTTTATTCTGATTTACAGCCACCCTGTATAGGGTTTTTGAGGCTGTAAATACTTATGGGAGCAGAAAGCCTCATCTTTCTCCCGCTGTAATCAATAATGCCCTATATTCATTGCTGTCATACATTTAGATCTGTTTTACTGGTGGGTTTGACTTGTTCAAACTAACCTTGCAGTTGAGTGTTTTATCCTATAACACCACACCACTCAAGATTAGGAGAAACACTCAAGATTCAGAATATATTCAGCTAAACAAATAACTTTTTAAAACATTCCAGTTTTCTCTTCTCTTCATCCTTTGACTATCTTCCCATTCCTATATGTATGACCTTAGGCCTCTGGCTGAGTGAAACCAGTAGACCCTGCCCCCTGTCAATCATCTTTTTAATGCATCTTGGCTTTTGCCCCAGGCCGCTGTAGATGTGGCTTTTCTCCCCTTCAGTTCCCTATCTGCTGCTCGAGCATGACATCTCTTACTTCCCTTTCGGTCATTACAGATGAAGAACAACCAGTGTAACCACCCAAGAATCAAAACCTCACCTTCCATGGTTTTTGCTCTTAGAAAATCCCGTGAGTCTCTGAGTCTGGATTTCTTGCAGGGAATCCTGCTCCTGGTGTCCAAAGTATAAGAACTGCGTGGTGGGGGCATCTGACCTCTAACTTCATAATGGGGAAGGAGAATCTAGATCAATGGGAGACAGAGCTCAGATATGTGTCCACCCTCCATCTTTTTTTAACTAATTCTGACATTACCTGTCCCTTCCACAGCCCTCTTCTCTGCTGAGTTTGATCATTTATTGCAACGGGCCACCCAACATTCCCAGGCAGTGTAGTTATTGGGTTCACTAGGGAAGTAACAGGTTACAATTCAGGATCAGAAAGAACTCAGGATACAGTGCTTCAGTCAAAACAGTCTGTTAGTCATGTTTGCAGACAAGCTTCCCTTGACCCTCAGCCTCCCAGCCTGGCCTCTGGCCTGTTGAGCCAAGTGTTATATTTTCAACTCCACCAGTAAGTGCCTGGAGGCACCCTACCCCTCCAGTAAGCCTCAGCCTAATGGGACTCAGTTCTCTCTCACTCTGTGGGTCAATGAGCCCAGCTCTTCCAAGAACCTGGAGGCACCTCAGTTGGAGCCAGGTAGCCCACCATACCATCATCTGCTAGTCTCCTGGTACTCCTCTGCTGGTACCATTTCTCTGCTGCTCTTTCTCACCATCTCTCACCGCCTCTGGTGGTACAACTCTGTCTCTTCAGTCTAGGAGGTTCTCAGCACAGGGACTCCAGGTCCAAAGCCTGTGCTCCACTCTTAACTCTTCTTTCTTGATGGTTGTGAGGTCTCCCTTTCCACCTCTGGGGTGGCTCATTTTAAGCCTAGAGGGATGGCAAAACTGACCAAAACCCCTCCTTGATGCTGTTTGTTGTTAAGTGCCGTCAAGTTGGTTCTGACCCATAGCGATCTTGTATAGGGTTTCTGGTGAGCTTGAACCACCAACCACGCGGTTCAATCTGACTTTGCAATCCAGCCCATTAATCCACGGCATCACACCAGGACTCCAGTCCCCTCCTTAGGGTTCCATATTTTCCTCCTGACCGACCACATTCTAGTTCAATGTCCCCATTTTAACTCTGACCTTGTTTTTTTTCCCTCTTGTCTGTTGTTCGGTGGTTTTTCAATCAGAAAAGTTTACTCTCATAGATAGATGTCTCAGGTTCCCTGGTAGAATCTTCTAGATATGCAATATGGGATTCTGATATATGGCCTCCCAAAGAAGTTAGGGATATTAGGCAGTCCTAATTTAGAATTATTGGGAGAGATGTGAATGGAAAAGTGTCAGGAATGTGAAAAGTTTGGACGTTGGGCATATTTAAAGGCAAGAGCTAATCCTAAGAATGCCCATTTGTTATTGAATTGTACCTTGTACCGAGGCACATCTGAGAGATCAGGGTGTTTCCCTACATCCTTGAACAGAGATCCCTTCTTTGCCAGCATATTTATAAACAGCTCTCGGGGGGGAAAAATTCACCTTGTGATTTTTGTTGTCACAGGTCTCGCAAATCTGACGAGTATAAGCCCAAATAGAGACCATACACATCTGACAAGAGTTGTTGTTAGGTGTCATCCAGTCGGTACCAACTCATAGCGACCTTATGCACAGTAGAACGTAACACTGTCCAATCCTACACCAATGTCACGTTCGTTCCTTTATAGTAACCCTGTACAGGGTTTCCGAAGAGTGACTGGTGAGTTTGAACTGCCGACCCTGCAGTTCAAAACAACCTTGAGGGTTCAGTGCATTATCCCGCAGCGCCACACCGGAACTCTAAACTAAGTAACTAGGGGACCACATATTTCTTGGGTGTGGTCAGCTCTGGATATGTCAAATAAGCTTAATGGCATATTAGGACTTTCAGAGACGTAGAGCGTCTTCCTGGCTTAACTGAAAAGAGAACTTTTTCTGAGTTACCGGCTTAAATCTGAACAGAGGTTAACTTGTTTCTAGGACAAAAGCAGA